TCCTACAGGGTTAGGGGTAGGAGACGTTAATTTCCCACGCACGAGATTACTGTGTGATGGATGTCCTCCCCTGGGGTGGGATGGGTGAGATTTATTGGGTGGACTACTCGCATGGATCGCATATGTTCCGTTCTAGTCCTACCCTACTGCGGCAATGCAGTGAAAATGGTTAGAAAAGAAAAACAACACTTTCACGTGGTGCGAAGTTGCAATGATAAAGTTATGACGATGAATACAGGTTTATATCGCCGTGACAACATTTAAAGGAAGAATGGCTACACGACAAAACGATAAAAGCAACTGAACACCTGCGAACTACTCATTTCATCGCGTGTACACGGATTAAAATTTCACTAAAATTGTTCTCTGATATGTGTGGTTTTTTTTTGGTGGTAGACTATTTCCCAGAGCTGGCTAGACAGAAGCGTCTTCTTGACCTAAAACATCAGGGGCGACGGCGAAACTACTGGAACAAAGTACCGCGTAAAGAATCGGAGGAAAAACGCGATCGTGAAGAGGACGTTGAAGTTTTACCTCGTTGGGAAGAAAAGGAAACTTTCGAAGAAGACGACAACACAGATGTAACACAAGAAGAATGTCAGCCACAAGAACAGTAAAAACACTTTTCTGTTAAAACGCTAACTGTATTGTCACTGGTGTAAAGACGGGGGGGAGGGGTTATGGGTGACGTGACCTCCAGGAATCTTAATTAAATTAGTAAAGGAGGCGGAACGAAACGTAAAAAAAAAAGATTCCTGTAAGGGGAAAATTGCGCGAAAAACTCCTTGGAAATCAAAATAGTTAGCCCGAGAAAATCACTGGATTCCCTTCCAAACGTTGTCAGTTGGAAGTTAAATATTTTTTCAAATTTTTATTATGACTGTATTTATAGTTTTAACCAACTTCTAGCGAAGAAAATATTTCAAGTAAAATTATTTTTAAGTAAAGTTTATTTATTACAGAGAACCTATAAAATATCTAAAAGTGCATTTAAAGCAAAACACTTTTATTACGTTTATAGAAAGAAAAAAATTATATCATGGATATATGTTTTAATAAACGGTGCTTTAAGAGACACAGAGAATGATGATTGATAGAATTTCAGTGTTTGTAGAGTATTTCTACGGAAACTCAATTTTTTTAAAATTTCTTTCTGAGTGATTTTCTAATTTTCTTAAAACGGAAAAAGCTCCGTCCGCTCGATTCCGTAAAATTTTTCGATGTCCGTCAATTTACGTACGATTCTGACCAACTTCAGACGGTTCTGACATTGTTGGATAGTTTCGTCTGATATCAGATTGTTCTGTCCGACTTCCGATTATACATGCCATTAGAAACAGCGCGTCACCCAAGCCGAAAATAGACTGGACACTGTAAGGTACTTGGAAGGGGAAGTCTGGTTTCGATAAACAAGACGCCTGTCGTTTAGTGCGGCTTCGCAAGGTGAACATCAGTGCGAAACGAACACTAACTATTTTGAATTTAGATATCGGTTTACGTTTTGCTTAAAAAATGCCGCTCCTGTTTACAAAGAAATGACACGTGATTGTTTCACGAGAACTCGTCGTAAAATGTAGTTTGCCTTGAGAAAAACATGGAATCCAGCGCTCTAAGAATATTTAAAGTAAGTCAGGAACACACCTGCTCACGTTACTTACAATATTAACAACAACAGCAACAACTAATAGACAAACCAATCAAGCAAATCAATAAGATCTGTCCTTTTAAGTACTCCGTATCAACTGTTTCTACACACTATCTTTCTATTCATTTTTGGGTGCATCTTAAAAAAGTCAGTGAAGTATTGAAATCTGAATGTATTAAAAAAAATTCGTTTTAAGCAGGCAATCGTTTCAAACTGACGAAATTTTTTTTGTACACTACACAAGTAATTATTTTGAATCAATCTTAATTACACCTTGTGTAGTTCTTATCAACATACCGATTTCTACTTCACTTGACTTTGTGAAAAGCAAACTGACCTCTGCCAGATGAGATTGTTAATTTCTGTTTGATTTGAAATATTTCTTTCCGACGAGTTATAA